CAATGCCGTCGCGTGAAGCTGCATTTGCACTTGCCTCACATACTGAACGTCCTCTCCAACAATCACACACACACACACAGACACACACACATGCAGAGAAATAAAATGTACAGGGGAACGTTTGCTCGCTTTAGCCGTCTGACTAATGACGTCAGAACGGGGCCGTCATCACTACGTTCGCCGGTTCATTTCATCGCTTCATCGTTTGTGTGCAGTTGTATTGATGGCAGCGCAGGGTGGGGTTATGTTATGAGTGTGTGTGTGTGTGTGTGTATGTGTGTGTGTGTGTGTGCGCGTGTGGTAGCCCCATTGAAAGGCCCTTCTTTCTGCTCTATTTACCCAGGTGAATAGGGAAAGCTGGACCAAGCCTGAGCGGGAAAACATGTCATTCTACGCTGTGTAAATGTGTGTGTGTGTCTGTGTGGGTTTGGGGGGGTACTTGTGACTGTATGTGAGTACTAGTTCTCAAGACAAAAAGTTAGCCACATGACAACCCCCCCCCCACCACCCACGCCTGAGCCCAAGTAGATACAAACACACACACTGACACACATGAGGGCACATACACACATATCAGAAACCCAGAGCTTGTTTTGGAGACGCTACTAAAAAAAAAAAGACATCCGCTGAGCATTTGGAACAAAATAACTTGTGTTTCTGTTTTTTTTTCGTGCATTTAACGAAGGAAACGCAGACGGCACCCATGTGAAAGCAGACGTGTCTGGAGTGTGTGTGAGTTGGAGAAGTGTTGCTGGGCACCAGGAGGCTGTGGTGACGTCTGTGTGTGGTTACTTATAAAACGCTGCTTCACCTGCTCCATTGAGGTTTTTTCGCCCGTCTTCTGTTCGTCCTGAATCGGGGATTGTCTCGCATCTTTCGGTCAAACACATGTGAAAGCAGTCACACACGTGTTATATTATGGGTTATGAGGTTTTCATTCTCAAGCCTGGAGAATTCTTCTTTTTATTACAGCCACTGAAATATTTAGTCTTTTTAGTAGTTATGTTCGTGTCACGTGACTGGGTTTGTTGAGTTGGAGAAGAGGCTGTTGTCGTTTTATAAACCCAACCTCTAAACAATTGATCAATATAGAGAGTTTATATTACTATTATATTAAAAAGTGAGAATAGTAAAATCTAGCTAGGATTGTAACTATATTTAATGTCATTTGTCCTTTTAAATTAGCTTGGTTCTAAACTCCTACCGGGTCACTTTTTTCTGGTGATTTTGCTGGTGAAAGTAACATCCGGGTTGTAGTCCAGAAGCACGTCCTGACCTTGGATTCTGTTTGTTATTATAAAATGCAAGTAAACAATCAACCCAACTGTCTCTCCTGCTTTCTTCTCTGCCCACCAATGCCCTTATTTTTATTTTTTTTCGAATGGTCGTGTTCTCTGCTCTTTGACACTGTTGGCACCACTTTGGCGGTGCTGACCCATTTTTTTTTTATGTTTACAGTTATTGTTACGGGCTATCGGGCGCATGCACATTGCTCTATACATCTCTTTGGGATTCTGAAAAACAACAAACAAACGGCCAAACGAGCGGAGGCCAAATCTGGGAAGACAGCAACTGTTGTTGCAGACCGGTGTAATCACCTCAAGAGCAGCTCCAACAGCCCCCTCCCCCCTCCCTCTCTCTCTCTCCCCTCACCTCTCTCACCCTCCTAGCGCTCCCCCCTCGACCTCCCTTTCCACGTGTCCCCACGTCTGTCTGCTCAACCTGTGAGTTCTGGTGCGCGTGAGCATTGGCGTGTACGTGTGGTTGTGAGTCAGCGGGTGCGTGTGTGTGTCTGCAGGCAAACGTTGGTTTGTTTTATTTTTCCGGGGCCAGTGGTCCCTGCAGCTTATGCTCCATCCGATGGCTCCAAACGGACCAGCCTCGTCCTCTCCATTCTCACTCTGGACCCCAGCTGAGGAAAACGCGCGACCTGATTGGTTGGAAGCACTTTGGGATTACGGTTCCCAAACAAACTTAATTTTTGGGGGGTTCTGTTTTTACTTTATTTCATCCTCATACCAAAGGAAGAATATGTTCCTTTACGCTCTAAATAAATCCTGGCATAACATCCTAGATCAACTGATGAGATAAAACCGATAATAATAATATAGTTATTATTATTTTTTGAACCTGTTACATGGAACTCAGCCAACATCAATTATATCATTCAAACCAATTATTGTCACCGCAACATATCAAAGTGTCTCATCCGCCCGGTTCTTATGTTATTATGTGCTGAGTCTCTACCACTTACCTGACAACCGCATGGTCATTTATGCCATCAACCAAACCAATGATATAAACTCAGAGGGGCTGGTGGGCACTTTTAACCCCCCCCCCCAACCTCCCTCCCCCCTGCTTTCAGTCGGAGCTGAAGGCCTCACACTTTGGATTTGTAGGCAAGTAGGGAGAGGGACATTTATTCTTTATAGTTTGAGTTCTGCTACCAACTCTCTGGGGGGGGTGGGGGGGCTTATCATTTCACTGTTAATACATGCGGGTATGAGTGCTAATCTCCTTTTGCATAGGAAGGGGCCAAAGTTGCACGGTTTGTGACCACAAAGTCACACATGGCTTTGTAGTGCAGTTATTCTACAGTTTTGTGTGCATTTTACTACCGTTTTAACGCTGTAAAAGTAATCTATATGTTTGTGCTTGTTTACATATTACTTATTTCATTATTTGCATCAAAGCCCTTTTCTGCACATGAGCTCGGGCGAACATTTGTACTGTGCAACTTTGCCGCCCTTTCCCTTCTTCACCCTCCCGCGGACTGAAAACACAGAAAGGAAGCAAGAAAAACAAGAGCCTCTGTAAAGTGACGACCCTAATTCCAACCTCACTTAACCCGGCTCCTTTCTCCCTTCGGCCTTGTAAATTCATCACTCGTCGTCTTCTCCCCCGATCTCCCCCCCCCTCCCCTCCTCTCCTCTCCTCTCCTCCGTACCATGGTGTAGGCTAGTTATCAGGCCCGGCCAGCGCGGCCCAGCCCTCCTACCTGACCGCTGCCAGCAGGGAGCGGCCGCCCTCGCCTATCTCCAACCACAACAGCGCCCAGGGAATGAGGAAATCAGGCTAGAGTAATCTATGCAGGCCCAGAGCACACTGGCCGGCGTTCGAGCTCACCAAGCGTGTGTGTCTGTGTGTGTGTGTGTGTGTGAGTGTGTGTGTGTGTGTGTGTGTGTTTTGCAAGCATGCACGCGCGCGCGCGTGTTCAGGAGCCCGCCACTCCTGCAACATCCGCCTATAAATCTATTGTGACAAGACAAACTGAATTTATGAGCCAATCTGCTTGCGACAGACATTTGAGATTTGAAAAGGGAAAGGAGGGTGGCATAAAAAAAATATGGTGGTGAGCGTGGACTTCTGCTTTGACACCGAAAGAGCATTTACCCTTTTAGAGCGTTCAATCTTCTTTTGTCCAAACACAAATATCCAATTAACTGAATGTGAAAATAAAATCTCAGGCTCCTGTTTGCAAATGGAGATTTCCCAGCGTTTCTTGACCCTCTACAATGATGAGAACTCATTCCTCATGTACTGTTACTCTCTACTGGTTCACTTTTCTCCTCATTAAAGGAGGAAAACTTGGGAGCTGGAAGTTGTGAACACTGTCCAATCAATTAGTTCTCAGTCGCTACAGTCAAATGTAGAAAACCTCCTATTTGTCTCCAAATTCCCAAACGCCATAATGACAGTACCCATTCAGGTCTATAATGTTTTTGCTAATAAACCACCACATTCTCACACACACACACACACACACACACACACACACACACACACACACACACACACACACACACACACACACAAGCAGATGCCTTCTCACTCAGTGGAAGCAGGTGTCTGTAAATCTCATGGGGTTTGAGGCTTTTTTTTTCTTCTTTTGGGTGTAGTAAAAGATGGTGAAATTCCCAATGTGAAAGTCTGCTTCTTGCTCTGGCCTCTTTCCACAAGACACCCCCCGCCCCACCCACTCTCTCTCTCTCACACACACACACACACACACACACACACACTACACAGCTACAATTGCAGGCAGAGAACCTTGTAGATTTCAAAAAGCCGGTCAAACCCCCACCACAGTCTCCTCGCCGTCTATTCACATCATTACTTGTGCATTAGTTAATGTTCCCTTAAGGCCTCATCAAGCGCGTTTCTGTCGGGTCCGGCCTTTAATGCCACAGTTCCCGTTAGCTGTGTGTCCGTGGAGATGAATGTAATTTCTGGACATATCTCTGCGTATCCCTCTGAGACTTCTACTTGAGATGGGAATCTATATCTGAGGGCCCTGTGGTGGATCGGGGCGAGGCGGGGGTGCAGGTGCGCGGGGCTGGAGGCGAGGGCCGCGGGTGTAAATATAGCCCCCGGTCTGAATCCGGGCCCCTTGGCTTCCACGGCCTCAAAGGAAAACAAGTGCACTCAGGAGACCGAATGCGAAGCGCGCACGTGTGTGATTTTGTGTGTTGTCGGAGAACCATGAGGTGTTTCGCACAGTTATTGTACGAGCGCCTATTCACCGGATAAAACGTTCCCTTTGTGTTTCTGGAACGTTGCACGTGTTTGATCCACGGAAAAAGAGCCAACAGTTGGGTTCATTTGCTTATTGCCTTTTGCTGGATGATAAACTCCACACTCACTCAGTAATTGGCAGATGGAGGGAATGTTTATCGTGTGCTCGGAATAAATTTATGACAGTAAACCTTTGTTTCACTAGGATTGTGTGTGTGTGTGGGGGGGGAAGATTAGGTCGGATTATTTCATTACAAAAGATTTGAACCAAATTTGCATAAACTCCAGAGAGCAAATTCACTTTACGGAACAGCGTACCTTCGCAGTCCTGTTTGCAACAACTTCGGGCTGATTGTACTTCAGTAAAATAGCACAAATGTTTACCGTCTTTGAGGAACCGCTTTTAAATTTTAAACTGAATCCGTTTCCTTTTAGTGAGTCATTTTCTTTCACATGATATTCCAAAAATGACACTGAATGCAAGCTGTAATAAAAACACACTTTATTTACTAGGCAGTATACAAAAGTATAAAAACATGAAAACTTGGCATGTACAAATGCTTTTATAAAATCATTTTAGCTCAAAAGCTAGTATAAAACAAGGCGTACAAAAAGATTGTCTGCTAAGTGTTTGACGTGGGCTACTGCAATGCTGATTGAAGAAGCATTATACAAATATACAAAAACTATCCAAAGAAATGTTTGAATACAAAAAGCCATACAAAAGTTTTGATTGGGATTGGTTTGTACCATCGTATAAAATATCCGTGTTTAGTGCCCTCGCCTTTTCTGGAGAGTAAGTTTCAAGTGCAACTCGGCCTCATGCTTACTGGGTGAAGCTCGTGGTTTCAAACATACAAGCTCAATTACGATAATTATCTCAAATGTAGAAATATATATATATGCTTGAAGTTAACGTTTTTTTCCATTGATTTTTTTTACTGAGAAGGCCAGAAGTGAATGAAAACTGAAAAGGTTGAAATGAAAATCAATTGGTATGAAACAAAAGGTGCCAATGTGGTCGTCAGGTAATACTAATAAGGCTGGCCCCTTCCGTTGTGTAAAGCGCCATCGCTCTGTATGGCACTGTAAGTCGAATAACGATGCCGGGACAGACGCGGCTGCTCTTGTTCAGTAGTTAAGTGTTTACATGAGGTGGCACAGACCAAACACTTGAAATAAACAGTAGACACATTGAAGCCCGTTTAGCAAAGAAAAAATAAACAGAAACGTTTCACGACTGAAATAAAGAGGTCAGTTTTAAAGTTCATTAATATGCCTTTGGATTTATGATAATGCTAATAGGGCTTAAATACTTAACTTACAACACTGATCCATTGGCCAATTGAAAAAAACAACAACATTATGAAAACAAAAGAAATAAATTAATCAACTTGTTCTTTATATTAATATCAAAATTCAGAATTAAAAACTCAACAAGCCCGATGCAAATTATATATCCACCGTTTCCCCATTTATAATACAACATTGATAATAACAACATGACGAGACCAAACGAGATAAGACGTACGACAGAAACCATAGCAAATTATAGGTAGAAGAATTCTGAAAAATAATAATAAAATAAAATTAAAAAAACTTGTTTAGTCTTTGGTTGGTTGAAATCCAACAAGTGTGAGTGTAAAAACACCGACGGCATAGAGCCTCTCCCAACTGTTGTACCACAAATGTGTAATCCGCGCCGTCGATCATCCCCCCCCTCCCCTCCCCCCTCTCCCCCCTCTCCCGCCGCAGCGAGGCGCCGCAGCTACATGACCAGCGTCCTCGTGGAGTAAGTGCTGATGTACTTGCGGCTCTGCTCCGCGGCCAAGGCGTGCTCCTCGGTTTTCCCGCAGGTCGCCTGCTCCCAGGAGCCGAGCTGCTGGTTGGCGGAAAGAAAAGCGGGACGGTGAGCTTCCCCCGGTTTCACACATTCACAGAACTTGCCGAGAGGCCTTTACGCACCTGCGGCGGGCTGCCCGTGCCTCGGCGAGGGAGGTGGTAGTTTTTGTGCCCGTCTTCGCTCAATAGTGAGCCGGTGAGCAGGTCCTGAGTGAGCAACGTAAAAAAAAAAAAAGAACATCTCAACGGAAGTTCGAAACTACGGTTTCGGAGATTATTTGTGAGTTATCGAGGACGGCGTCACAAAACATGGAAGCCGCAAGGTCAAAACGTGAGCTTACGGGTACTTCCTGCGCGGCGCCGTTTGGGGAGAAGAGCTGCGTGTGGAGGTCCGGTCCTTCCCACTGCATACACGGGCTCCTCTCACACGGGGTCTCCACCTACAACCCACAACACATCGCGGTTAATATCAACAGAGAGTCACCTCGACTCTCTTGACTAAAGTAAATTCCACTTTTTTCCTTTTTTTACTTCCTTTTTAAAAGTGCATGCCTTGTTTTTTAAACATAACTGTAAAAAGGCGGAGGGAGATAATTACCTCACTAAAACAAATTTGTTCCCACGTCACTTGACAATGCACGAGCCAGATGCATTCATCGCTTAAGGCACACTTTGGGTGTAGAAGCATAAAGTACCTCTTGTTTTATCTTCTTCAGAGGAGGCTGCTCAATCGCGCAGTCCATCGGCTCCTGCTTGATGGATTTGACCATCTGTTGCTCCAAATGAGAGTTCTGGAAAAGGCAGAAATCCCCCGGTGAGACATCAGGACACTGAAGTGAGCCCAGCGGGAGGTAGAAAGACACGATCCCGGCCTCTCTTTGTGTTTCTCACCAGCAGTTTGTCGGGTCCATACTTGGCCTCCTGCATGGCCACAGCTGACCGGAACGGCGTCGGCGTGCAAGGAGACGACTCCTGGATCGAACGGCGAATGTTGGGAGTTCGGAACCTGAGGAGGGGGTAAAGAGAGAGACGGCCGTTTGTCAACAACGTTGTTTACCGCAGTCCGCATGGTTGGATACATTTGAGAGAAAGCGACGTACATGTCCTCCTCTTTCAAGTGCCGGATGGTGTGGTTGATCAGAGGCTTCGAGTCCACAGGCGAGCCGTCGTTGTCGGAGTGTTCCGGGCTCATTGACTGGTTGAGAAACTGTGAAACAAAGAAAGGGGAGGAAAACAAATCAACTAAAAGTTGCTTCTAAAGGTAGGTTTGTTTCTAAAGAAGCGCCATTCTGGACTTGGAAACTCTGCAAACTACATAAATGGCGAGGAAAGGCAAAAGCACAGCATATACGGTTGATCGTTGGATGGATTCTGATCACACGCAGCTACTTTAACTACCCGTGAGGGGTGGGAAACGGAAGCTTTCTGACCCTGTCTGTTCCGAGAACGCTCCTATCCAAGGGCTCACGGGCAAGGGCAGAAAAATACGGCTCAAAGCCCCCGACTTGTCTACGTTATATACCTGCCCCTTTCTAAATCTAAAGCAAAAGCAGATGCTCACCGAGTCGATGACGCATTCCATGAACTCTGGCATGGCATTTGAGAACGTCGGGCTGCCGTGATGACTGCCGCCGTCACCGCTGCTGCTGCTGCTGCTGCTCCTCCGGGTGGCGTGGGCGCGCGCCGCGGAGGCGCTCTCCTCCGGTAGGCAGCTCTGGTCCAGGGGCAGGGCGGGGGCCTGGTGATGAGGCAGTAACATTACGCCCTCGGAGCTGTTGGACGGAGAGCTCTGGCTCGCCCAGCTGGGATAGGACAAATTCATCTGTGGGAGAAAAGGGAAATAAAGAGAGAGGGCTATTAATAAAGAATAATCAAAGTATGATCATTTGAAAACGTTTAAGAAACTCAATTAAAAAAGAAAAGAAAAAGAATGTGCCAGCGTGACTATTAGGTAAGAGGTGTAGAAGAATTGAACAAATGAGGAAAAAGAGAAGAAGAAACTTTTATGTAAAGAAGTGTTGAGCGGGGAGTTGCACAAGGGGTCATGCGCGCGCACTGAAATGGCGACGGCGGTCCTATTTCATCACAGACCCCCCAGATGTTTCCTCCGCACACATCCAACCACCTTCCGTTAAGCCGGGGTCAAACAATCACGCACATAAATCGTGCTGTCACCCTGCAGCAGCTCGCCCGCAACTTACTGGTAGTGACGGCTGGCCTCTCAGCTCATCTTCTGTCGACATGAGCAGCAGTTCGATCTCCTTCACCCTCTGCTCCTTCTCAGGGTCCTCCTCACCATAGTGTCTCTGCGGGGGAGGGGGGCACAATTTAGTCCCGTCGCCTGGCTACAGGGATGGGAACTGCGCCGCGTCCGCGCGCCGGTTTTTACCTGTATAGCAGCGGCCCCGTGCTGGGGAATGTTGAGCATGTTCAGATGCAGGGCCATGGGGAACGGCACCTGTGGAGCCAATCGGAAACATGGAAATCAATGAGCCGCCTGCAGCCAGAAAGAACTAAGCGGGATAATTCCGCTTTTCCCGCGTTATTTTTTCCTCCCCCCTTGGCGGCCCAACTCACTCTGTGCGCGTCGGAGATGTAGGCGTAGTTGAGCGGCGACAGGGGGGGCGGCTGCGCGTGGCTCGGCGAGTGGTGCGGGTAACCCATGTGGTGGTTGTTGGTCTTGACGTAGCCGTGGCCGACGGAGTGCGAGGAGTTGCCGTTCTTGGCCTGGCACTGCAGGTAGCCCTCCTGCTCCACCTTCCGCCTCATGGTGGAGTTCCAGTGGTTCTTGATGGCGTTGTCCGTCCTGGAGGCCACAAGCGGCGCGTAAGTAACTCGCAACGCAACAAGAGGCGAAAGTCGTTCTGGAGCTCCGGTGTTTCTTGGTAGCGTTATCAACGCGGTCCCTCATTGCCTTTGTCCTATTTGTTTGACCCTGAGCCTCTCTTTAAACTTATTTCCTACCAATCCTTCTGTACTCCCGTCTTTCAAAACAACGGAAATACTTTCCGCATTCACGCCTTTCTTCTTCTTTTGTGTTCCGCGTGCTCGCTTCATCCCTTTTCTCCTTTTTTTGTTTCTTCTCTTCTCATTTTTTCGTCCATTTCACCCTCTCAACCGCAGCATTGCACAGTCAACCAACTAGTGATTCATCTAGATTCCTTCCCCCCTCCACCCTCACCCGCACTGTTCTGTCTCCTACACCGTGTACCTTACCTGCCGGGGAGCAGCTTGGCGATTTCGGCCCAGCGGTTTCCCAGCTTCTCGTGTGCCTGGTAGATAATCCGGTCCTCCTCCTCGGTCCACGACGTCTTCTTCACCTCCGGGTTCAGGTGGTTGTGCCAGCGCTCGCGGCATTGCTTGCCGATGCGGCCCTTCAGGTGCTTGGCGATCACCGACCAGCGCTTGGCTCCATACTTCTGGACCAGCTCGATCACCTGTGTGTGCGTGTGTGTGTGTGTGTGTGTGTATGTGTGTGTTTGTGTGTATGGGGGAGACAGAAAGAGGAAAGACAAGAGGCGAAGGGGGAAGAGCGTTGAAAAGGAAGAGAAGTAAATGGTAGTGGAGGGGCACGAGAAAAGAAAAGAGGAAGTAGCCATAACAGGCAGGAGAGGGAGAAGTGAAGGGGTAGAGAGAACGAAAAATAACAAAGTAAAAAAAATGGAATAATTATGGGTGCGTGAGGGGTGGAATGGAGAGGAGAGAAAATGACAGGAAAAAAGTCAGTCACCCGGAAAAATGTTGAACATTGTGTGAAAGCTTCTCCTCCCTCCTTCCCGCTGTCTTTATCTTTATCCTGCGGAGGTGACTGAGAACACCTGCTGGTGCGCACAGAGGGAGTTTCCAGCGGAACCTTAGCCACTCCGCTGATCATTACAGGCGTCTGCGTGGAAATATAACTCCTACGGACGGGGCTCGGCTAATACCTCACAGCCTCTTAAGAGACCGGGTTCGTTGGGTAACGGAAACTTTTTGGGAAATAAAAGCTGTGCAACAGCAGCCAAGACGTTGCTGCACATTTAACCCTGGATGATGCTCAATCACGTCTCCTGTGAGTGTTTTCCCTTATTCAATTGTTCTCCGCCATCATGCAAAGGTTCTGTTTTTTTTCTAAAAGGCTTTTGTCTCTTACCCTCTGGTCCTCCTCTTTGGTCCACGGCCCTTTGATGAGCTCTGGGTTAAGGACCTTCTGCCACCTGTGCTGGCACTGCACATCTGTCCGGTTCTGTTGGTCAGGGAACAGAGCGTTAGCACTCACACTGCGGGGAGGACATATATATATATATACGCGTGTCCACAGGCCGCACGACTTACAGTCAGTAGGCTCGCAATCACTTTCCAGTCTTCTGATCCATGGAGCTCAACCAGTTTCTTTAACTTCTCATCCTGAAAGAAAGCACGTTGCAGTTAGACGCATGTCCCTGCTGCGAGCGGCTATTAACACAATGTGAATAGGGTTGGACCAGACAACTATAAAAAGGTCCCCGGGTACATTGGATGTGTTCCCTCCTGGAGAGATTTCTATTTCTATCCAGCAGCTGTGTTGTTTGTAGTAGGATTTTCAATTGCAGTGTGTGTGTGTGTGTGTGTGTGTGTGTGTGTGTGTGTACCTCTTCTCGTGTCCAGCGGGTTTTGCCAAGGTGCCTTTTACCCGACTTGACCATTGACCCATCGTAATCGTGGTCATACATCTCGGCCTCCTCCTCATCCTCCTCGCTACTGTAAACACTGCAGACGCACAGAGAGAAAGGGACATTTAAGAAAGGAGGCGCAGTCTGTGCGAAAAGGAACAGTGTAAAATAATAGAAAAGCTAAATACTAGCACAATAACCACCTGTCTAATTCCAAACTACTCCCTAATTATCTCTTTGCAGAGTGCATAAAGAACTCAGCCCACTCGTTAACTCATCAGGTGTCAACACAGACAGAACCAGTCGTTCTTGAAGGTTTGGGTGCAGGCTTTTAGCCAAGAACCCACAAGGGGAGAAAAAGGGAGACAGAGAGAGAGAGAGACAGAGACAGAGAGAGAGAAAGAGAAAGAAAGAACAGCAAGTGGGAGGGAGAGGGGGGAGATGGGTGAACAGGTTTTAATGTTTTGGGTTTCCACAGATACTGGGATTGGCTATGCGATCATAATTTCGTGACCCTGGCGTGTTGAGACCTGCAGTGGCATTGTACAGCACAGTCATACATGGGCGCACACACACACACACACACACACACAATTGGTTAACCAATCAGAATGTAGGGAATGGGCAACGCAAGATAGGTAAGGTACTTTGGTGTCAACAGGTGAACAGGAACCCCAATGAGGTGTGACTGTGACTGTGTGTCTGTACGAGAGGATTTTTAAAGCAGGTTATCTTCCTTATTTTCTAACCATTTACCCAAATGCATGATTAACACAAATTGCCGTACAGAAATGTATGCATAGCAGTCTTTTATGTACGTTCTCTCTTTTTTTTGCGATATGAGACCACACCAGAAATAAAACACACGCAAAGAGGCCAACAGTGAACGCAGCAGGCTCCACTCATATCGAGAACGACGAATCAAGTGAAAAGCGCCCCACGAAGCAGCCCGATGATAACCATTGTTCTTATCTTATCAGAGGGGTGGCTTTGTGTGAAGCCAACTTTTTCTCCCCCCCCCCCCGTTTTATGTGTGTTGCACCATGAGAATCAACCAACAAGCCGCACCGAAACAACGACGAGTACAACTTCACACGCGAACTCAATGAAAGTAACCGCAGGGTTGAAATGATGTGGTGCCCATCAATAAAGTGCAAAACACGGCGAGCGAGTGGAGGGGTTGTATTTGCGAGGACTGCATCGAAACGGGGGGACAAAACACAACAAAATGCGGGGCCGGGCGGCCCCCGTGACAGGTGCGCGTAGCGGGCGCAGCGAAATAAGAGCGAGCGCCCCTCGCTTCAGGAGATGCTGCGTTTAGGGTCCGCTTTAAAAAAAATCACCTCTATTCATGCCGGCTACATCGGAGTATTCGAGCCGCTGTGCAAGTGTAAAAAAGAATGCGGCATGGCGTCTAAACAACTCTGGATTAGCATTTAGGGAAAGTTTTGAATAAAAAAAAACAATTATTGCACATGCCTCAAAGAAATATAAAGATGTTTTTTTTTCTTCAAAACCTTCCCTACGGGCTAATCCAGAGTTGTTTAGACGCCATGCTGCATTCTGTTTGACTTTGTATCTATTTAATATAAATATTAATTTAGAATAAACCCCGCAGCACCCTCCTCATGTCTCTCTCTCTCTTTCTCCCCCCACTGACAGCAGCGCACATGCCAGATGACCCGCACCTGTCACGAGCGCGCCAGACACACAGACCACTATACTCACCTTTAAATCGGCAAGAAAACCCAAAACGCTTCACAGACACAAAAATGTGCTCAAACCAGAAAGAAAGAAGAAAAAAAAAAACATACACCCTGTCAATAACATGCACCCGTAACAGCTCGCGCTGACTCCCAACAGAATGGATCATGCGAGAGAGAGAAAATAGCACCTGCGTTATTAAGTTATAACACGCGCGACTTGGCGGTGCGTTCGGGCTCACCTGTTTCTCGGCCGTCGCGTCATGTTAAAACGTGTGGAGCGGCTCGCAGGTTGCGCTGAGCACGTACTTTCGCTATCCGCGCTAGACTCGTTCTCCCGGCGGCGAGGCACGTTGACATTAATTTAAACTACAGGCAAGCCTTTCACTGCCGCTCCTCCCCTATCCCGGTCACTTTGGCGCTCCTGAACGCGGCCGACTGCGCATGCGCAACGGGACGTGTAGGAACTTCCGCGTGCTGAGAGTCCGAAATGCAAGTGACACCTAAGAAAGTCGTGAGAGTTGTTAAAGTTTTGTTTTTTTTAGAAAGCACGTTAACCTGCGCCTCTCTTGTTGGCTCGGGGGGGAAGCACTTTTAGACATCTAAACCTCCTGGTCCGCCGCGTTTTATTTCAAGATACAAATTCCAAAATACAGGTGTGGCTGGATACTGCGCCACGAGTTAAAAATAATGGATGAATTCAGGAGTAACAATAATGAATAAGTTCGAAGTGTGGCTGGATACTATACCAATTGAGTAGGGTTGTATTGTATCTGTCTCCATACCATGCCTTACAGTGGGACCTGAAAAGGACACCTAAAGTTACGAAGTGTTCATGAACGCACCGCAGCTCTTCACGGTGGACTTGTCAAAGGCGCGTTTCGCCCGTCCGTCCGCGCTAAATGCTTTTTGTCAACAATATTCGCGAGTTACTTCTCTTCTGCTGAAAAGCAGAAGGAAACTAATACATCTGGACGCCGTAAACAATTGCGGAATGAGTTGGCGTGAGTTACGACGGCCTGGGAAAGTGAAGTTGCAATATTTTCTGCATGAGCTCTCTTCTTCGAAATACAGATGTTTCTCAGTAATAAAAACAAAACAAAAAAGTCAATAACTTGGTCTTGTCGTGTAAGCATAAAATGAGCGTTTGTGCTCAACATTCTCCTTAACAGCAGACTTGATCTGTTTTTTTATGTCATCCGAGTTGTTTCCTGTGTCCCCTTTAACCAAAGCGACGTATACAGTACTATACGTGCACCATAATATAATCTTAGCTCCATTGCATACATTATACTGTGTTAATGCTGGTCACTTTTATGAGCCTCTTGTTTTGGTTGAGTTATTCACCCTCCCTGTGCCTGCCCTGTCTTTGCTCAGCAATTCTTTGAGAGTGTGTGTTGGGGAGGGTGTATTTGTATAAATGTGTCTTCTCATTGTACTAGTTCCTCCATACGCGACCGTATTGTCCTGGTCACTTATAATTACCATCACCCCAGACTAGCCTTTTGTCCCAGGCCGGTCATCATAATAGTGGCCTGATAAAGGGCTGCACACCCACACACACACACACACACACATGGACTGCACATTTTACTATTTGATGCAACAAGGTGGACGGTGCTCAGTGAAGGGAAATATCCAGATTGACTGAATATGGAAGATATTTCTTAGAATGATTTGTGTGTATTATTAATCACAAAATGTATTGATTAACTGTTTTGGTTCAGAAGCAGCATGCAACATTGAAACATGTCAACTATAAGTCCCACTGATGCCGATGTAAGATGTAATATACTGCACGGTTGCCTGGTCGCAATTGCCAATAAAATTCTACACCTGTGTACACAAGCATTGTTCTGACATTTTATACCTTGAAGGCCGTGGTACTTCGAATCCATTCAAATCCTTATTATATATCTTATGTCGTGCAAGATTGCAATACAAGACGCCCCACATTTTGTGCACATGTGTCTTTTCCCTCCAGGGTAATATCAAAAACTACATCTTGTCATCTGAAACCAAATTATGGGAAGGGAGGTATGCAAATTCCCCTGTAGTAGTTTGAGCAGGAAGCCTGAGACCCATTGACTCCATGCTGAGGACATTTGCATGGGCGCGATTGGACAGGTTAAAGGCAGGTATTGTGATGGTCGACCCCTCTTGCAAAGCACTGTGTGCACAGGTTGGCTCATTTGAATGATTTTTAATGATGCCCCCCAGGCATGAGATAGCATCCCACCAGGCTTTCAGATCCCGTGTTTGAAAGGCCAAACATGGGTATTGTCAATTGTCTGGGTGTCTAATGCATGTAAAGGCCTGCGTTGGTGAAGGGTTGATCCCTAGTCAAATAGGGAATGTAATGCTGAATAGTTAAATAAACCTACATGTTGACTAATTGTTAAATGGGGGTATATAAACATGTGGAGGATTTATACGTTAGCATCTTCCTGCAGTACATTAAAATAGCGAACATTATTCAGGAACATTTTAGAAGAATATTTGATTGTGCTACTTAATTAATGCATTCCGTATCAAAGTAATTGATCAAAAGGTTTTCTCAGAACACATAACTATTGCTTTTAATCAGGTTTTGGAATGTTTGCCCTGTAATGTGACTTTTGCTACTTTGAGGACCTTGCGTGTGTTTCTTTTTTTGACTTTAGCTGTTTGGACCACCTGCCAAAGACAGCCAAAGGTGTAGGTTTTGCATTTTCTCTGGGCATGAGTTCTTGTGAAAGACTCTTCTTGTGATACCTTTAGCCCCTGGCAAATTATGTAAAGCATTACCTCATGCACATTGCCAACTTTTGGGACGGACTTCTCCCCCTCACCCACTCGCACATAAGCTTCTACAATTACACCGGGTATAATCTGTTTTCGGATTTGCATGCTGTTGTTTTGTTATATTTGCAATTCTTGCTTTCACTTGATAGTAATACTACTGCAATTCCCTTGCTAACAAATATGTTGTGCATCTCAGAATTGAATATAATATTGTTAAAGACAAGATATGATGGATGGAAACCATAACGTGTATTTGTCCGTTCGACAATGTAATATCTAAATCTTTTAAACAAAGCACTCACCATCCACTGATCCGCTCATTCTTCTAATAATCTGTCCATCCATCTGTTTAATGCATCTGATGTGTCCCACACGTGCACACCACCAATTCATTCATTAGACTTTCCGCAAAACTCTGTGGCCACATCGACGGCACAGATTTGACCTGAAAACATATTCAAAGGAAACAAATGTTCAGATCCTGTGTAGAGGTGTGAAAATTAACACCCCAGCTTTGTTGCTACACGACAGACATCATTTTAAGTCTGCCTACAAACACAAAGCAGAAAGACTTAATAAACCAGAAAAACAAATAATTTTGTTTTTGGTTTTAATGTTTTTTTTGTTTAGCAGGTTTGTGGTTTTAGGTCATGAACTGGGACAACGGAGGCAAAACATTCTGGAAACACATTTAAAATTTTATATTATTTTTAACTTGTGCAAAATGTTCCATTTCCATGACATGTCATGTGCTCTTTGCCGCATTTGGTTTTTGAGTGTCCTAGAAACATTTTAGTGATGCAAATGAAGAGTTCCCTCTCTGTCACCTGTGCAACCCTGTGGAGTCAACATGTCTGTGTCTGCTGTGTCTGTGCGGGTGCAACATGTGTGAATGTGTGTGTGTGTGTGTGTGTGTGTGCAGTTGTTTATTTTGGCATGTGGATGTGCAACTAAGACATCAAAATGCAGGAAGTGGAATTTTAGAGGGGAAACCACCACCCACTTAGAGGCACACGCGCACGCGCTGATACATACACGCAATATTAAGCAAAGGTGAAACAACACAAGAGATAGTAAGCTATAGATGACGTGCCCACTTATCCATAAAAGCTGCTTATTTGACAAACTGCCTGTTGCAATATGAGCTATTTATTGTAAAAAAGGGCTTCACAATAACCTAAGCAGGCAACTTTATTTATCCTGCTCTATTTTTAGACTATAGGGAGACACACAGAACCTCATAATTAATTTCACCCGAGCTGATGTTGAAGAGTATACTTCACCTGCGTCTCCTCTGTCAGAATTAGGTCTGACATTCTCATCTTCCTCTCTTTCTTAGTTATACATGGCACTGCAGATGAGGACCAGCACAACGAAATGTATCGATTACCACACATGCATGTGACCATAAAAGGCCGCACCAATGCAAAGAACAAGTCACAGAAAAACGTGTAAACAACAAAAGCACACACATGTGATTTACTTTCCCGTTGTGGTAGACAGGTTTCTTGCGGTACAAACATAGCAGGAAAAAATGATGTCACTCGTAACCTTTGACAAAAAATGTTTTAGACATCCACGCCCCAAGATCACAGGTGGGATCGAAAGTTGTTTGTGTATTTTGTGCAGGCAGAGTCTCTCATGTTCCCTCAGTGCACTTCTCTTGACCTCTTTAAGTCATTTTCTCAAGGTGGGGAGAGGAAAATGCTTCTAACCACTGTCATTGTTCATCTTTCTACACATTGACTAGCTTTGGTATCTTCATCATCATACTCATGTGGATCCCTGGGTTTTAAAATAAGTAAACAGAAGTTGGCCCTTCAACTATTTCTTAAGTTCAGACTGAACGAGTATTTCCATATTTTTAATTCTGATGTACACGTATCAATTTCAAATGCTGATAATAGGCTCCCCAAACATACTGACGGGAGATCTGATCCCAGGTCGGATTGGAGGAACTGCAACAGGAAGTTACGTCAGCCCGAACAACCCTGCATGAAAGTTTTTACAATTATTTTATTGTGTGTTTTTTTAGGTGGTTTATCATCGGGAAAAAAAAAATAGAGGTATTTATGACAGATCTTGAATTAAAATGTTTAATCCGACGCTGAAAAATCAAATCTGATCTGCCGACCGTTACTGGGGATTCCACACAGCAGCAGCAGCAATGGCAGTCGGACAGTGAGACACATGCCGCAACTCTCTGTGAACCGAAAAACATTTACATTGGAGCCGAGAGAAGACATTTAAAGCAGAATGTCCCGGCACCGAAATGTACGAGGTTACAACTACGATGAAGGTAGATGACCCGGACAAGACGCTTTAGCCTTCTCGACAAGGCCCCAAACCGCTAAACTCGATAACGTTAGCTGCTAGGCTAAAATTAGCTGTTGTTGATTGTAGCATTAGCAGCGAACGGTAGCTAGTTTAGCTGGAAGTTAACGTTGCTGTCGTGTCACCTGGCATGAGATGAATTGCGCTGTTCTGCTGTAGTCATTCCAGCACAGTGCCTACACAACAATGCTTTCAGAATAACGTGATACCGCTAAAAATTTGTAACGATTTGTAACGTCATATACCGTTAATAAAATATGTTAACGCTAGCTTGTTAGCTCGATGCTAACTTCCCACTGTTTGATAAACATATTACGAGTTTCTAATACATTGCTGTTTATGGTGTGTGTGTGTGTGTGTGTGTGTGTGTGTGTGTATATATATGTGTGTGTATATATATATATATATATATATATATATCCAATTAACTTGTCAAACATCCAAATTCTTAAACGTACAGTGAAGTAATTGCAGAACATTAATGCTTTATCTGCTACATGTGTAACTAAGTTAGGTCTATTTAATGTAGAGGGATGCAGAACACAATTGAGCCTCACTTCCATATATATCTTTTCTAGACTTTGACGATGATGACATATATGGACAGTCTGTGGATGATGACTACTGTTGTATATCACCAGCAACAGGTGGGTATCACTGAATGCAATATTATACAACTCGTTTATATCAACACTAACATACGTTTGGTAATATATATAGACAATATTTATCTGTGACAACTTAGTTGGTATTTTTGACACAATGACACAATTTCAGTTCATTCTAATATGCTACACAGCATTGATTTAAATTGTACGGAATTGTTACGACACCACATTTCCCAGTTTGAAATCAATAAGTCAAGATGTTTGTTGGTTTGTACAGCAAATCAGTTCATCTACTCACGTCAAGAGAGGCAAGCACCAAAGGGGGATACCTTAGAGGAGGAAGAAGACGAAGAGGATGGACCCATGTCCCCTTCTGTCATCCCCAACCTTGACCCTCTTGACCAAGGTAATATTCTGAATAACAAATCTATTTGACCATTAGCTTTTGAGCGTTGTGTTTGAAAATCAACGTTTTCCCCGAAGGTTTCCTTTTTAAAAATTGGTATTTATCTTTTTGGATCACAAATACAATTTCTGTGTATAACATCTGTGTCGTACTCTATAGCCAAGCTGTATTCCTGCCTGGATCATATGCGAACTGTGCTGGGAGATGCAGTCCCAGACTCCGCCCTGACGCAGGCAGCCGTAAGATGTGGATTCGACCCGCAGAAGGCACTGGATGCCGTCCTGTCTGAAGACGCCAAGACGGCCCCAGTTACCAGAAGTGCTGGTGAAGCGACAGCTCCGGTGGCGAGAGCGAGCCAGGAGAAAGCACCGCTTCCACAAAGAGCCAAACAAGAGGCCGTGGCAGAGAAAGGTACACCTTGAGTGGATCAATTGTTATGTTTTTAGTGGTTTAAGAATAAAAAATGATTGTTCTCAACTGATCCACTTTAGTTATATATTATAAAATGGTTATTTGTGGCATTTTAAACTTTTAACCAGCTATTTACCTCACCTCAAGTACAGGATAAAATGGTTTCAGTCAGTTTGCAAAATGATTGAGGTATACAGTTGGTTCATAGATGTTTTTTTCTGTTAGCTAGAGACAGCTTTTGTTTCCTTTTTAAATAAACCGTACTCCAGTACCATATATATGAAAAGTAACGGCTCCTACCAGTGCACAAAATGAGGCCTAGTCTTTTTGCATCACCTGATTCATAAATAGAGGTAGTTTTTTCAGTATCTAAAACCCCCCCCACACATTTCAGTATATTGAATTAAGACCCTTTAGGATTTGTAATTAAAAAGCAAACGATTAAGCGAGTTGGCTTTTAAAGTTGTTCTTATGCCAATAACAGTATTGAAAATCGCACATCTGGTTGGTACGGTGTCTGTGCAGTTCTTAATATACATACAAGATTTTCTTTAAACACATTTATATCATAACTTCGAAGTCAGTCCAGGGGTGAAAGCGTATTATTTTAAAGAAGAGAACTATAAACCCCAAGCTATTTTTATTATTATTATTATACAACGAAAGACAAAATAACTTTCGAGGTTAACAGGTTTTCAGTTAGACCACTTTAACTAAAGCCATGGAATGGAAACCTTGAGAATTGCAAAAAAAACCCAACAATACTATATATATGCTTCATTTAAAAGAGGCTCTTTAGAATCGTGTAAATAGAAGCTCATGTGTGTGGCTGACACATTTTAGCCATGCAAGTGTTTTAACAAAGTGCCTTCTTTCTTTTCTTTTCCCTTTTCTTCATGGTTCCTCTGACTTGTGTTCCGTGGTCCTCCCGTCCCTCCTCCTCGGCAACTGCAATTGGCTTTCGTAAGGTAAGGAGCCTGCTTGTCCGCTTTTCACAAAGACATTACGTCGAATACAAATAAACCCCAGACCGATCTGTGCAAGCACACATCACCGCGTGCGCAAACATGTACACCAAACTTGAATGACCTCTTATTGCGATATAAGGCTGACCCTGCGGTTAGCAGCGCAGAAAATCAAAATTGTATCCACCAAAACAGTGGTCCACTTGTTAGTAGTGGTGCAAACCTTGCACAGCTCATGTCCGAGCATGAGCAGAAGAGTAAAGCAACGGGAGCAGTTGACGCAGGGCGAGGTTTGGGTGTTCACTCTTTAACTGCCCTCACCATGGGACAGAGTTCCCCCCTGTCCATTATGCCTAATCAGAATGGCCTTTCATTGGGAACATTGGCGTCTTTAAGCTTGACTTCAGCATCTCGCAGCTCAGCGCCGCCCCTCCTCCCAGTGTCACTCAGTAGTCTATCTCTAAACAACCCCAAGCTATCATCTGCCAGCCCCTCTCCAGCGGCTCCGCCCGGGTTTGGAAGTCTCAGCTCTGTCCTCTTGCGCAATCAGCCCTCAGCGGGAGTCGGGATCGGCGGCAAAGCCGCAATCGCTGATCCTAAGGGAAGCCCATCATTGGCCGATTTAATGCAGGAACATTCAAACCGCAGCCCAAGCATCAGTGACTGCTCTCTCACACCCCAAAGCAGCGCAGCGTTTGTGACGTATCAGGGGCCGGCCACAGCAGCACAAACACTCTCGCTCTCTGGTCTTGCTTCGCGGAACCAAAACTGGAATATGCACAATCAGTCGCAATCCCAAAGCACTGAGCAACCAGCAAACTCACTCACCTTCCCTAAACCAACCAACCGGACTCCTGCATGCCTAGTTGGAACCTCCTCATTGTCTCAGCTGGCCTTACAGCATCAACTCAGCAGTTCCTTCACTCTGCCTCAACCTCTAAGCGTTGAACCTCCAGGAAATGCACAGAGACAACCACCTGGCACCTCTGAGCCTCTCTCCTTGTCACAATTGGCTTCTGAACACAAAGGCAAAACCTCAACGACCTCAAGTGGGTCACCGTACTCCCTCACCTCGCTCCTTTTACCAGCAAAACCAGAGAGGGCTGGTGTGTTAGCAGAAAGCCCTAAACAGGGTGGGGCCAAGGGGAAGCGCGACCACACGCCACTCCACCAGAACGTCGGGTCGCCGAAGCAGGCCATTGATTTGAGTGCACTCATGGCCCAGTCCGATGGAGCAGGCCCCCGTCGCTTTGACAGCGGCCTCCTGTCGCCGTCCTCTCCAAATCCGGCTGCCGAGGGGCCGGATTCTTCCATTTTTGCCCAACCGTCAACATTTGCGATCACCCTGTCGATTCGGCAGAAGGGGAAAACATCGAAGGGAAGAACAAGGGGTCCCAAGGCAGGAAGTGTTTACCGGGCTTTCCAGCTAAAAACCCACTTAAAATCCAGAGAGGAGCACACGCCTCTCTCGCCAATCGTACCATTCTGCTTCGACGCGCCCTCCCCTGATGACGTCGTCCGTGCTAACCAGCGAAAAGCTTTCACCAGGTGAACGAGCGGAAACAAGGGCTCTTGATTCGGCTCCGTCCCGGTTGCGGGCGAATGAACGAGCGTTGGATGAGAAGCTCAAATCTTTTTGGTGGCCTCACGTCCACCAACTGAACTAATCTTGCACTCATGAAACATTTTTCAAAGACTTTGTCCCTCAGTCGAGTGGTGTAGAAACTTTTGGGACCAACACAGACTGAAAAAGCAACTCTGTACTCTCTGTATTTCTTTTTTATAGCAGCACGCAAGAATATTAAGTTGCTAGTAAATCTATAATGTTTAAACTACGCAGAATAAACTACTCAGTCTATCTGGCAGCTTTTAAGTATTCACAGATAAGTTTTAAAGGGCCAAGTTTTTATTAATTGCAGTTATTTTTATACCTTTTTTAAAAAAAGATCTCTTACATTTCTATGCTTTTTAAGCTTTTAAAGTTACATATTTTATATAAAGCGTGAAGTAGTTAAAAAATTTGCTAGGAAAAAGTTTGCCGTCTGCGTGGCCTCTTTTCTGTTTGTGATCTGCGTGAGAGGCTGATTTTGTTTGCAGGTGTGCTGCAGCTATTGGAATATGGATCAGTTAACCATTGTTCTGGTTTATTGCTGCCTGCGTTTTGAGATCTTGGGGTAGACATTTTGGTTTAGAGGACACCTGGAGATTTTCCCATGAGCGAGCGAGAACAAACGCATGCAAGTGCATGCTGACACACACACACACACACACACACACACACATCCACAAAAGTGAACCCTTTTCAGAGTTAACTAAACACTGAATAAAGATTGCACTGAATGAGTCAAAAGTGAATGCCTTCCGACTTGAGGTAAAAGGGGGTTTCTCGCTCTTTAAACTCTTGACTTGAGGATGTCCAAATGAGTTTGATTCACAGACAGTGTTTTGTAAGAGTTTAAATTGTCAATTTTGAAATAAAGATGTAAATGTATTCCCTAAAGTGTGTGTGTGTGTGTGTGGTTGTGTGTGTGTGTGTGTGTGTGTGTGTGTGTGTGCTTTGTGAAAATTATCTTTTTAGGGTTGTTGTTGTATTCAACTAATTCTACACCACCAGTTAAAACAGTGCTCTATTCCTATTTGGGTTGATAATAGAGCCTAATGCTTGTATTACTACTGTAATACTGTAAGTCTATATTGAACGATGAATTGGCATCAATGTCATTAATATTATTTTTTAATTTCTAATTAAAAGGAAAACTTTGCATTATGTATCTGGTGCAGTGACTGGTTCTTTTGTTGGTTAGTTTGTTGAGGCATCTTTCGTGTTTAGTTTGAGTCATTGGTACCAGTTTCAATGGCGGAGCTTTCCCTTTAAAGAAGCAAGCGTTCTTCAGATTGGAAAAGGACTTGTTCAGTGGTTGGTGCATTGCTGCCCTGATGTCGCTGCTGTCATCAGCACGCTGGCTTCTAGTTATGTCACAGGAGGGTGAAGATGAGGGCTGATATCCAACATTCTGTCCTGTTCGTTGGTGTCATCAATTCAATACAACTCTTTGATGTAGCAGGGGTATGAACTTCATACAGGCCGCTGGGCCTGAGGGAAAAGATGGTTGATGGGGAGCAGATAGTGGTAATAATGACAAGTCAAACAGTAGAAGTCAAACCGGTTTCTCTGCACATGGAGTCCCGCGAGCGCTGATTAAATAGATGTGTGTGTGTGTCTCTCGGTACAGCGTGTTTGTCAGAGTCTTGAAATGAATACCAACCTATTAACGAGTGGGTTTGTCCAGCCAACAGTTTTGTCCTTTTTTTCTCTTACGGCGGACCAGAGTGTGGGTTTGAGCAGGAAGCTGCACTCTTGGAGAAAATGTCACAGCGACCGATCGTCTCACTCAGTGTGTCTCATTCGCCACCTACGTAGGAAAATCTGATCACGTCTCTTTGACTTTCACAGCTTTCTGACAGATCAAATCATTTTGTGTCTTTACAGGCGCTGCAGTTCTGCAAGGCGTACATGTTGCACGAAGGTAGCGTCTTGTGATGTGGTGCCAATACTGGAAAATACAAGTGGTCAAAAAGAATGCTTGTGCATTTGGTTTCGAGGTGCCATCTGTACCGCTGCTTTATTGTTGTGCGGTTTGTTTACAGGAATGAAAAAAATAAAAGAAGGGCAGAGAAAGAAATAGGATTCCTTATTCAAATGGAAGGTTGCAACCCTCGTCACAAGATACGGGGGTTAAATTCGAAGGAGGTTGGAGGCCCATCTACTCCTAAACAAGCTTTATGAAGCAGTGATGCGACCGTGGCTTCAGTAACCAATCGGGTTTGTTCTTCAACTAGATGTTGTGGTTGTCCATCAGAAATCGCTGCCGTGGCAGCAGTAACCGTTTGGTGCAGATGTTTCGGTGGAAGTGCAGAAATCGCACCGTCTTAGAGGAGCATTCAGACGTGAGATGTTGGATCAGCTCGGCGCCGGTCGGTCTGGTGGAACTCACCCGTTTCTGTTTCACGTCGCTTTCTCTTTATCGGAATCGTTCCCTGTTTGCCTTTTCATATTACAAATGGTTATCGTGTAGTTTATCTGCAACGTTGGCTCTTAGCGGATCACAGAAAGCCTTTTTCGAGATGTTGTGAAACCCGAACTAAGTTCTGTGTTTAAAAACAAACGGAAGTCTACTTTTTATGCTCAATCGCACTATGTGAAAAACTTTTGCATCTGCCTATGCATGATAATCCCTCATGCCTGTAACGTGAGGCATTATTTAAGCATTTTACCATTATAAGGTCTGTTTTGTAATAGTTTATCATTACTGTTTATTCAATTGCACTGTGTTTTGTGCGTTCTTTTTGCGTAGACGTAACGCATTGAGGTGCATCGGAGATTAATGTCTACTAGTTGTAGGTTTGTGTAGCAGATGAAGATGAGGTTTCTTAATCGCTTTAATTCTCCGACATGTTGAGTAGTGCACGTTGTGTTTGACATTTTGGAAGCAGCCAGATGGCTTCTCGTTTCCCTCCTCTTCATTTCCATCCACATCTTCATTGATTTTCCAAATCTGCGATAAGTTCAACTCTTAGTTACGCGGGTCCAGATCCATTGAGAGACGGTTTGTGTTCAACAGAATCTTTTACAGCCTTTAGCGGCCTCAAGTGGTCAGGAGCCTCTTTTTTGATATTTCATACGCAGAATTCTCACTTTTCATCGGGACGGCCATCCAAGCGGGTGTTTCTTTTTGGGAAGTTGACATCTCTCTCCGTCCACCTCGTCATCTCTGGGCTCTCTTACTAACAGAAGAAGCAGCTCGCCCAGCGGGCCCGTCTCTCTCTCTCCCCATCATCACCTGCTCTTTCAGCACGCTGGTGTGTTTGGACGGGAAGGAGGGACCGTGGTGGGGGAGGTGTGTGTGTGTGTGTGTGTGTGTGTGTGTGTGTGTGTGTGTGGGGGGGTGTATTTGCATATCCTGGGTGGAGTCCTCTTATCCTGGGCTCAGTTGGGCCCTCGGGCCAAGGCGTACAGATGGCTCACTCACTCACTACTAGTCACCGCAAGGGTCCCCTATCGCTAGGAAATCCTGGATGGGAGGACTCCAACTGTCTACCTGTCTGTCCAAACAGTGCCGAGAGATCCTGCTCTAAGCCTCACAGCCTGATCGCACTGCATTGCTGCCCCCAGGCCTGCCCCAAAAAAGGAAATGATCTGGCAAGTCCGTTGTTTGCAAAGGTGTTACATGTCCAGTAGTTAGCAACCCGGTAGTCTATCAGTGTGTTTACATGATGGTATAATTCGAATCTTTGCTTAGTCGGACTATGCTATCTTTCGGGGAAAGTGCTATTATCCCAATATACATGGCAGTGAATAAATCGAATCATTGGGCGAAAGCGTGTCATATCCGATACGATAGGTGGCGCTGTTTTCATTACAACTAGTTGTGATACAGCCATTTCCACTTGACCGCTTCACCACTCCCAACAACAACAACAACAACCAACAACAACATCAACATAACGAGAAAGATGGCGAACGGGGAGCAAGGTGAAGCTACATCCCTCTACTATGTTTGCATGATGTTAATAGGAGCACAGCGAATGTGAATGGCGCTATTGGCTGATTTGATAACAGAGAGAAGACGCCGTCGGGATCTCAAGCATGTGCAAAGACGCAAAGTCCAGTTCCTTATCCGATTCACCGTTACATGCCGCAATAGTCGAACCATCAACTGGATCGGATCGAGTTATCCAGGGGTGTTAGTCGGATCGGAGTCGGACCGCACGTAGTCGGACAAAGGTGTTTACATGAAACGGATAATTCGATTTCAGTCCGACTAAGCCAGTTATTCGAATCCATGTAACCATGTATGATGTATGATGCGAGTTCTAAAGGGTGTGTGTGTCGGTCTAGTTCACCCCACGTCAAGATGAATGTGGGGATCCAAGGAAGGCCGTTAATAATTGTTTGATTTGATGTGGTCTAATTAAGATGTAATGTGTTTGTGTCCTGTTTGAGAAAAGCCCCCAGCTGCAGGAAGAACCAAAATTCCCCAGAGAATTATTTTGACATCTCATGTTGCCGCCTACTGCAGCACAGAAAAACAGGCCAATGAATCCTCAGTGATGTTACACATCTAGAAACAACGTTTTTACCCCTTTAAGGTTTTTAAATTGGTACCTTTTCCACTTTTCCAAGCTTTTGAATTGAGAAGAACCATTGTATGTGTGTGTGGGGGGGAAACCGGCATGCAAATGGATTTTATATATAGTATATATAAAATGCATTTGCATGCAAAAAAGCCTCCTCAGGTTGCAGTGAGCTGCCTCACTTGTGAATCAGTGTTTCAGAATGAGAGGGACTTTTTCTCCAATGCAGAAGCCAGTCATTCAGAGAATGCTTTGTTAGAGAAAGTCCATTAATAATTGGGTTGAATCACACTTCCTTTCCCCCTCTTTTTCGAGGGGTATTTCTTTTTTTCTTTTATATATAAACCTCAAGAAGCATACGGGGGATCAGTATTCTTTCTAAATGACGTGCTGAAAGTACATTTGTAAACCTTAAAAAGTCCTTAACAAGTTGTAAAAGACATGTACAAGTAATGATTTTTTATTTCTTGATAAATGTCCGAGCATCGCAATCTTTTATTGTCAGGACAGTGTGTGGGAGATGCGTGTCGTGGGCGGATTGTTAGCTACGTATTCATACAGGCTTGTTTCAAATAAGTTATCACACATTCACCTCCAGCCCTGCACTTTGCTGAACTGACACCTTTTCAGAAGATTCATTCTGCGAAATGCTCTGTCACTGCTCTATTTACGTGGAGATGGGAGGCAACGGCCACTTCTGATATTAACCCTCTCAGAACCTGGATGTCACTTTCCCGCACACAGATGCACGTAGGGCGCCGTTCCCTCGGCTGTGCAGCCCAGTCTAAATGAATCAGTAGCAGGTTGATATGACTGGGACCGGTGGCCATTTTGCACTGGGATGACAAGGCAGTGACCTCAACGAGTCTAATCAGACAGCCAGATCGATACTCAATCATCGACTGATTGCGTCACTTGGTGACACTTCAGTATACGCCAGCCAGATACCGGGATACTAGTCATGAACTCTACGCCATTTCAAGCAGATAAAAATAAATGTGATCTGTTCCTCATTTTATAGGTGTATCACTATGAGTCACCGTGATTGCCTTTTTTTTCTGGGTAGGTGAACAGTTTTGTTCCTCTCTTCCCACCAGCTAAAAGCAGAAACGGGTCTGACTATAAACTGGACTCCGAAGTGGTACCCAAAGTGGCCCGCATGACCGTCTCCGGGAAGAAGCAGACCATGGGCTTCGACGTTCCCAGGTAGCCAACGCGCACACACGCCTCTTTCAATTCACATAATGAATCCCCTTTTTATTTCAAATGACAAGCAGCGAGGGCTTAAATTTGGACGGGCCGATGACCCGCCGTCTGTATTCTCTCTTCAGCACGGGGGAGAACGGCGTCGCCGGTGCCTCGGTGCGCCGCGGCGGCAGCCCCGAGAGCAGCGCCGCCACCCTCCCCTCAGAATCCACGCCCAAGCGTCCCGAGACTCCGTCTAAAGGGTTAAAGGGAGACGAGCCCTCCACTGTTCCCACCCCGGGCCGCTCCACCGGAAAGGCTCGGCACACGATTGATATCAAAGCTGAGCTGCAGAAAAGGCTGGGGGGGAAGCCTCTGCTGAATTTGGTGGTTATAGGTAGGAAGAAGTCAATGTAGAAACCACTCTGAAGTTTGAATTTAATTAATAG